TTTTGTAATATGATGTTTAAATAAATGTAAAATAAATTTTTTTATTAAATTATCAGTTTCTATTATATAAATATATTCATTTATTTCAATTATTTTAAATTTTAACTAAAAATTAATAATTATTTTGTATAATAATATCAAAATAAATTGATCAAATAAAATTATATCTAATTATTTTTAGGATAAGTTTATTTTTTTAGATTAATTTTAAATAATTACTTTTAAATATAGCTTGAATATCCTAATTACATCAAATCTTAAATCCTATTTTTAAATAATTATATATTTCAAAAAATATAAACAATTTTAAAAGCTTATCATATTTTAATAAATTAGATTAAAGGCTATTAAAGTATGATTTAATTTTTTAAATTAAATTAATATATAAAAAGGTATGCTCATTTTATTTTAGTAGAAATTTATATGATATATATATAAAATATTTTAATTTGATCATACTAATAATATATAATTTTTTTTTAATGTTTTATAAAAAAATATGATAATCAAATTTAACATAAAATTACAAGTGATCAAATCTGATATCAAATTTTCACAAAAAATATGATAAATTATCAGTAATCAAATCTGATATTATATTTTCACTGAAAAATATGATAAAATTATCATTTTACTAAAAATTTATCAATGATTATCATATGTAAAAATCATTTTTTACAATTTTATTGAATTGATGGCTGGTATTTCAAAAAGAAAAAATACTTGTCAAAACAAATGAAATAAATAAATTCAAGTAGTTAAACAAATATTAATAATATTAACATGAAAAATAACAAAGAAAGTTTGTAAAAAAAAGATATTTATGATATGAAAAGTGATGATTTGATTATATGAGAAGATGAAGACTTGAATAATTGTCAAAATTTAATTCAAACTTTAATAATTTAAATGTAAAATTATATTCTACTAACCTGCAGATCAACTTATTCAGGAAATTTGATAAAGACTAAACAAAGACATCATACTCAAGTAAAAAAGAATGCTGAAAAAAATGGACAAACTATTGATTATTTTTTCTATAATAATATTCTATAAGAATAATGAAAGTATATCTAAAGGAATTGAAGATGATGATTTAATTTATAATTCTCATAAATATTTAATTCTCTTAAAATGTAATTTAAAGAAAAGAATTTAGATAAAGGCTATAAATTAAGATTAACTGCTATTGCAGTTAAGGTTATTTAAACTTAGAGGTTTTATAAATTGTCTAAATAAAAAAAGATAAAATTTAGCAAAATTATATTAAAATCTTATTAAAAAAATCTGTGAAATTCTAAGTTTATAAAAATGCAAAACTATATCAAAACTTTAGTAAAAAATTAGCAAAACTATAATTTAGACATTTTGCCAATCAAAAATAAGTTTAGACAAGTAATGTTAATTGCAATATATACGATTTCTTAAATTTTAAAATAGTAAATTAAAAATTCATCTTTATATTATACAATAACTTAAAAAAAAAATCATAGTTTGCCTGATATATTCATTTATAAAATCATATACTATAAAATAGTAAAATTATTCTATTTTCTAAATTAAAAATCATTGTAAAATGAAAAACTTATTTGATGATAAAGGTATTCAAATACGATTTATTTATTATTAGAATTTTTTGGTTATAAATAAATTTCTATAAAAATATATTAAATAATAATTTAAAATAATATATACTTAAATCTATAATATTATAAAATTTATTATAATCTAAAATACTAATAAAATATAAAAAAAATTTCTTATTATTATTTTTAAAATTTGTGAAAAAAGTTTATTAAAAATTAAATTGATTAATTTGAATTATAACAATTTCAAAATAATACAATTTATTAATTGTAAAAAATCAATTAAAACTTATTAAAAATTTGTAATAATGTAAAATTTTAAATTCTATTTTAAAAATTTATAATTATAAGACAAAAAATTTAAAATGTAAAAATTTCTATCAAAAGATTAGCATTATATATTTATATAAAATTTATAATTTAAATTAAAGTCTTAATTAGTTTATTATATAATTATATGATTTTTAATAATATATAGATATCTGCAAATATCTGCAAATCTGTATATCTTATTTGTAATTATAAAATGTTTATTTAGATATCTACTTATTTATACAGATATCTGAATTATATATCTATAGTTCTAATTATTTCTTATATTTTCAAATAATTATTTAAGTTATAATTTCTTTTTTTTTGTTAAATTTTAATTAAAAATTTTTTTTTTTTAATATTAATTTATTATTTTTCAATTTAAACTTTATTAATTTTAACAAATATTAAATATTTATTTGTTATTGTTTAATATTTTATATAAAATATAATTCTAATATTTTCTAATATTTATCAGTTTTTTAAAATTTAATTTTAAAAATTTAATTAGATATTATTAATTATTAATATCTTTAATACAAATAAATTTTTTTAAGTTATAATTAATATAATATAATAATGTAATTTTTCATTTTCACTATAGGCAAAAATAACAAAAACAGTGTAAAAAGAAAATAAAAAAATAAGGACTGACAAATGAAAAATTTATTGAAAAGAATTTTCCACATGAATAATCTGAAGGTTTAACAACTAATGATAATAATAGCGCTACTATCAGTTTTTAAGAATTTTCTGATACTGCTCTCTTTTCAACTTCTCTTACAGCCTATGATGAAATAGACTATGCACATAGTCTTTATAGATAAATACAAATACAAGAAGAAATAAAATATGCATGAAATGTCTCATCTATAAAAACACAGTTTTCTTCTACACCATAGTTATTTCTATTTAATACTAATAATAAATAAAGATCCAGTCTTTCTCTCAAATTTCAAAGGATAAATAAAGGTAAAAGTAAAAATAACAACAAAATTATAATAAATACTACCTCTGCTTCTTCTTTTTTTTCAATTTTGTCTTTCTTTTCATTCACATCTTTCTTCTTGGATAATATTCAAAAAGGAAATTTTAGTAAACAAAAACTTGTTTCATTTCACCTTTATTACAGATTATTAGTCCCATTAGATTTTGCTTTTTTTAGTAATTCATAATAATAAAGCTTCTTGTCAATTAATACTAAATCAGAAGATTTATAACTATATAGCTCACTGTCAAATAATAGATATAGCATTTTATAGAAGAATTGTTTAATTATTTTAAAAAATATGTCAATAAAGGTTTCTCCTATATTGCTGAAACAGTAGACATTATTCTCTCTTCAAATTTAGATGACGAATTTGATGATTCAGCTAAACAAATTCTATTTAATCAACTAAAATACCTTTTTTAAAATTTTTATAATCTTTTACAATCATTGTCACTAGTTAACCAGAAAAGTCTATCACCAATACTAATGCAGCTTTTTTATAACTATTATTCTCGTAAAAATGAAAAGATCTTTGATTTCTTTACATTTTTCATTTTAGTTAATTAGTTATTTAACTAATCATTATTCTTCTTTATAAAACCAACTTAGGCATAAATAATTTCTCTTTAACATAACATAAAATTTGATTTTATTTTATTTTGTGTATTAATCCTGAAATATAATATTCTTTGCTTAGGTTAAGATTGATTTTAGGGAGTGCTTTATAAGATCTTCTTCTAATTAATCATAGATTAGTTAGTCTAAGATTTTGTAATTTCTTTGAATTGTATTTTATATAATTTACTTTATATTTTATTTTATATTTTATATATAATTATTATTTTTATTTATAATATAGTATTTTATAGAGAAGTATAGTTATTAATAGTAATTATATTTTTATTTAAAAATAATATTAAGAATTTTTATGTATTTCTTTAAATTTATGTTTAATTTATTTATTTCAATAAAACCTATCAGTATAAATATTTTAAAAAAATAAATAATTAGTTTTAACATTTAATTTTTTAATAATATAGGAAATTTGCTATTAAAATTGAATAATAATCATAATAAATTATATGACCTGTAACATGATTTTAATAGTAAACCTTTCATATTATTTATTAAGATATTTTAATTTATTAATTCTTTTAAAAGATATTAATATGTTGATAAATCAAATCTAAATTCTAAATTAAAAAAAATTTTTTAAATAAATTAAAAGTTTAAATTTTTTTCGATTCTAAAATATTGGATAAAAAAGCTTTAATCATAATATAAACTTGAAATTTTATAAATTTTTCAGCTATACTTATTTTAAAGCAGATTTATATAATATTATTTTAATATGATTCTCTATAAGCATACTAATATACAATTTCTTTTATTTAACTCTTATTATTTAAAATTATATTAGTTTTTTTTTTTATTTTAGAAATTTTATATTAAATCTAAATTTATTTATTAAAAAAAAAAAAATAATATTTTTTCTATTGTAAAGTATTAAATTACATTTTAAATAATAAAATTTAATTAAAGACAATATTAAAATTTAAAAAAAAGATTCTTAAAAAAAAAAAAAAAAACTAAATATTAATTTTTTAATAATAATTAAAGGTAATTAAAAATCAGAAATATATTAATAAACTACTAAAAATTATAGCTGAAAAAAGTTCATTTGAAAGAAAATAAAGCAAAATGATCCAAGTAATCAAATTTATGAATTAAACAGCAGATTAATCTTTCTTTTAGGTATTTATAGTTTTGCATTAATTTTTTATTGATTATGATTTTTTTGTGATCTTTTTCTTTCTAATTAAAACTTTAATTATAATTCTTGAATCAATGATGGATCTGATTTAACGTATTATTATTGAGTTAACTATGTTTGATTAATTGATACTAGGTTTATTGTCAGTATGAAAAGTATATTTTGAGATGAGTTAATTTCGCCAGCATTCTAAGTTTGCTGATGAAGTTCTATATTAGGAATTAATGGTCAAATTGTAAAAATTACCCACGGTTATTATTTATAAAAATTTGCACTTAAAATTTAAATAGCCACAGTAGTTAAATTTTCTTTCAAATTAAAAAAGTTTTAAGATACAATGGTAAACGAGAAAATATTGAAACAATTTTTCAAATATGTTGACGAAAACCAGGATCATTATGTTGATAGGTTGAGAGAAGCAGTAGCTATTCCAAGGTACGTTACTGAAAGACAATTTTGAGGGAAATTTTTTTAAATGCAGGAGTCTTAAAGGACTTTCGTTTACTATTTGTCTCGTATTATGAGGAATGCTTCTAAATGTTTAAAATGAATGTTCTACCTCTTTTTCAAAAGATGTTTTAAAATAATAATCCAAATCCATATATCTAAATTCTGACATTTGTACTTACGCAAATATGCTTTTGCCCTATAACTTTAGTGTGAGCAGTGATCCCGATCGCCGCGAAGATGTCTTCCGGATGGGTAATTGGCTCATCGAATTGTTCAAGAAACTTGGTATTAGGTATGCAATTTATAAAATATTCTCGATATTATCAATATCCACTTTTTTAAAATTTTTGTCTTGAATTAGTTATGAAGCTGTCGATGTGGGTAATCACGTGATGAGTGGAAAAACCTTGAAATTACCACCTATCTTGTTAGGATCTTATGGCAATGATCCTAAGAAAAAAACAATTCTGGTCTATGGTCATTATGATGTTCAGCCTGTAAGGATTGTTACTTTAATAAATTTCATTTTATGATAAATTCATTAATGATGTCGATAATTTTTTTTTTTTAAAAAAAAAAGGCCTTGCTTGAAGATGGTTGGAATTCTGATCCTTGGAAATTAGTTGAAGATTCTACTGGTCGTTTAGTTGGTCGTGGATCTTCGGATGACAAAGGTCCAATCATTGGATGGCTCAACGCGATTGAAGCACATCAAAAGATAGGAGTAGAATTTCCTGTTAATTTAAAGATATGTTTTGAAGGTAGGCAAAAATTGATGTTAGACTATTTAAATATTATAAAACATCTTTCCTTTCCTTAAAATGATTTTGTTGGATTAATTTAAGGTATGGAGGAAAATGGATCCGAAGGATTAGATGATTTGATTGCACGGGAGGCCGATAGATATTTTAAGTGTGTAGATGCAGTTTGCATCTCGGATAATTATTGGCTGGGCGTCACGAAACCTTGTCTGACTTATGGTTTACGCGTATGTAATTTATAGAACCATGTGATCTTATATTAGGTCAAACCCACTCATCATTTCATTTATATCCTTTTTTTTTTTTAAGGGCATTTCTTACTTTAACATCACAGTCTCTGGTCCAGGGAGAGATCTTCATTCTGGAGTTTTTGGTGGTACTGTTTATGAACCCATGACGGATTTGATTATTTTGTTCAGCAAATTGGTCACTCCGAATGGAAAAATCTTGATTCCTGGAATAAATGATGATGTAGCAGAATTGAAGGGTAAATTAAAGAAGAATATTTATTTGACCAAATAATAATAAAAATAATAAAAATTACAAATTTCTAAATATTCTTGATGAATATGAATACCACCTAGATGAAGAAATGGAAACTTATCGATCCATCGAGTTCAAATTGGAAGAACTTCAGTCGGCCATTGAATCTAAAACAAATATCTACGATAATGAAACTCAAACTTTACAGGCCCGGTAATTACTTTTTTTTTTTTTAAAAAAAAAAAACATAAAAATAAAAGATTTCTAATGATATTTTAAAAAAATATACTTTTTTTTTTACTTATATAAAATAAGTTGGCGCTATCCATCACTTTCTATACACGGTATCGAAGGTGCGTTTTCTGCGCCAGGGGTCAAAACTGTATTACCTTGTAAGGTTTCAGGTAAATTTTCAATTCGATCGGTTCCAAATATGGATCCTGATAAAATTACGGCTTGTGTTGATAAATTCCTTAGAGAGGAATTCGGTAAATTGGGAAGTAAAAATAAGCTTCAAGTAGAATGTGTGCATGGTGCTAAACCATGGGTTTCGAGTCCAGATCACTGGAACTTTGGTAAGTTATTTAATTTTTTTAACGCGATCTTTTTTTTTTTTACACAAATTTCAAATAACATTATTAAATAATACTGTCACAGTCGCAGCAGCTAATGCTGTTGAAAAGGTCTTTAATTGCAAACCTGATTTGACACGTGAAGGAGGTTCCATTCCTGTTACTCTTACTTTCCAAGACGCGTTAAATAAGAATGTTCTCTTGCTTCCGATGGGCAGAGGTGATGATGTAAGTATCGACATCTATATACGTGTTAATGGTTGATTTTGCTAAATTCATATTTGATTTCTTAAACTTATAGGGAGCTCATTCGACTAATGAGAAACTTGATCGGCATAATTATACCGAAGGGATTAAGTTACTTGGCACTTACTTGCATGAAGTAGCAGCTATTAAGTCTACCTAAAACTTTTGATTTTGAATTGAAGATTCATATATTCTATCTATCTATCTCTCTATGTAACGACGTCAATAAAGATTTATAAAAATTTTATAATCCCAAGATTTTGATTAGTCCATGAAATCATGTGAAATGTGAATGGTAATTAAATCACGTGAACGGCAAAAAAAATGCATTTCCAAAATAGGATATTTTTTTTTTACTCGTGTTCCAAAATTGATTGCTAATTGATTGCTAATAATAGAAATATCGCTAATTTATCAAACTAAAGAAATTCGAGTTAAACCATGATGATCCAAAGAGCACTTGACGCGCGTTCCGAAATTCTTTACCAAATTAAACAAGCGACATGAAAATCTGTAACACCAACGTGCTCAAGATGATTGCCAACCAAACGTATTTTTCCATTCTTGGCTTTAACAAAAATTTTCAATTTATCCTTTTTTCAATCAATTCTGCGAACCTTTTAATTAAAAACCTCTGTCCTACCTTTAATATTTGTTTATCTCATCAATTTTCAGAACTTGCCTTCAAATACAACAAAAAGTAAAATTTAATGGACAATAATAAACTGTTTCAGTCTAATTGATAAAAAGGAAGAAACAAAGTTACGTAATTTAATCGGATAAAATTTCTCGGTTCACATATGAAATGTGGATCTCACGGAAATATCGTGAAATCATTCCTTTTTTTTTTTTAGCAACCATCGCATATCAATGTAACATTGATTCGAAAATGATAAATTACCTTTTTAAATCGTTATGAGAAGTTAACTAATCATCTTGTTCGAAAGATGATCATCAAAGAAGTTGCACAGAGTAAATTAAACTTATACGTTTGTGTAAAGCCAAGTGGTTTAATCTAAATATGCCGAGCCGACGAGACATAAAGAAAATTATTGCCTTTAATTCGAGTGCACCATTCTCTCACACATGTAGATCATAATTCATGATGTACATTTGTTTGGATGGAATTATGTGATGTATAATTTTTATTTTTGTTTACAAGTTGAAAACTTATAATTAGATTTTTTTTTTAATTCTTTATTTGGAATCAAATTGGTGAAAACAAATGAATTTGTTAAAATGGAAAACATGGGTTTAGGGTTGAAAACCAGATTATGCGCGAGTTATTTTTAACAACGGGAAGTCTTGTAAAACATTACGGTAATTACCGACGTTGCATAAAGGATATTATTCATCTTTGTATTTTTTTTTTTTTTTTTAAACAGAAAAAGAATAAAGGAAGAAAACGTGTTTAAAATAGTAAGAAAATTTAACCGGTATTAGGTGGCATCAGAAACGCGTAAATCATATGGATTTTTTTTGGGCGTAATTGATTGAGTTCTAACGTTCCAACTCAAACATTTCGATTTGATCCCGTTTAATCCCGTGTATATCAGATATATTAATTGTTTATGTCATACAAAATAGTCCGACGGTCCCTTTTTTTTTGTTGTAACAACTAAATGTAATTAAATGTATGTAATTCATTAACATTTTTAACTGGAAAATTTAATTTTGAAGAATAAAAAAAGGAAGGTTCATTTTTAAGTTTTGGGGTTTATGTTTTTAATCTTATATTATTATTATTATTATTATTATTTTCTTTCCTGCTCTTAGAAGAAAGATTTTTTTTTTTTCTCACGTTACAAATAAATTTATTTTTCGCGTAATCAAAAAAAAAACACGAAATTCAATTACATCATTATTATTTATTATTGTTATTATTAATTTTTTTTTTATTTAATGATAATTTAATTGATTGAATAATATCGGTTAATTGAGAAAAAAAATTCCCCAGCTTTTTTTGAAACAAAGTCTTATGATGCCTTTTTTAAGATTCCACAAAAAAAAAATATTACCTGTTTGTTTTTTTTTAAGAGATTTGCTCTTTTTTACAATATGCCCATACTATATTCGGTCTAACATCAGGTCATGCTTCCTTTTTACATAAACGTATTTCTCGTTTTTTTTTCTTCTGCTTTCAGGGTTTGTTTTCTTATGTAAAATGGAAAAATAGAAATCCTGTATAATAACGAGTAATGATTTATAAGATTTAATATGTCAAAAAAAAGTAAGGACAGGAAAGGGGATTATCTTATTGTATTTTTTTATTTTTTTATTATATTTTTTTTTTTAAATTCAGAATTATGAAAAGGAAAAAAAAAAAAAAAAAAAAAAAAGGTAGTTATCAAAAATAATTATTATTATATTTGCCTTTATAGGATAATATCAATAATCCCGGAATGATTTATATCATTAAGTAAATTCCATACAATTAAATTTTTAATTGTTCTCTGTCAGAATAATAAAACAAAATAAAGTATAAAAAAAGTTATGATGCGTTTTGGACTTGTGAACTTTTTTAGTGCGGTGATGTAATACATTCAAGAATCTCAACAGGTTAAGAAAAATTCATCTTCCTCTAACGTAATTTTTTTTGTGAATGAATACAGAATAGCTTCATGCTTCCATGATTGGACATCATCATCTCTTTTTCGAAGTGTTTACCGCAGTAGAAATGTAAATCATTCGATGTTATAAATAGATGATTTTTGTGTACCAAAACAAGAACCCCAAATAAAATATTTTGACATTATCAATAAAAATATTCCTGTAAGTGTATTTCTTATTTAAGATCATTCTTTCTAATCATATGTTTCAAATGTGTGACTAAAATTATTAATCTTTAAATCAAACTTGATTAAAAAAATATTTTTTTGTCCATTTAATTTAATTCACTTTATTTTTTTTTTTCTCTTCTTTCTTAATCTTTATGATTCACCTTATTATCATATTAATATTATTTAATTGGAGCTTCATTCCTTCGAATTCATTCAAACTAGTAAATAAATTTTTATTTTTTATTTCAAAAAAAAAAAGTTAACAGTATTTGTTGTTGTGTGAAAAAGGATTTTCCAAAAAAGATTTTCTTAAGGAATTCAGATAACCTATGATCGATCCCTACAATGAACCTAATATATTGTATTGTTTGTTAGTATGATTTACGGTGGATTATTTGTTGTTATTTAAATAAATTTATTATATATATGGTATAAATTTTGTAAGAAAAAAAATAAATAAAAACAAATAAATTCGCAACCCTTTTGAAACAGAGGGTATATTTTTAGTGAAGATGACGCGTGAATGATGAATTGAAATTTCAGTTGACCTTTGAAACCCTTTCAAAAGAAAAAGGGGAAAAAAAGAAATAAATAAATAAATAAATGAATGATGATGATGAAATCAAAATCATCTTTGACACTTAAACCTAAACGTTCCCACATCTTCATCATGTGGAGGAGTTCCTTAAAGACAAAAAAAGTGTAAACATTTGTTGTCTTTTTTTTTTTCCCTGAACCTAATCTCATTTAATTCAATGAATAAATGAAATCCACTTATCGATAACAATCATCATACCCGATTTATGCGATTAGGTAATCACAATTAATGATGTGTATGCCTTTTTAATTTATGAGCACAAGAAATTGAAAAATTTTATCATAAAGATAAATAAATTAAGATATATTAGTATTTTTAGATTAAATTTATTTATCTATTTATTTTTTTTTTTTTATAACCGGGTAGCGATTTGATAAATTCAATCCTTGGCACGGCAACATCACACAAAATGCAAAATACAGAAGGTTATTTATGGAAAACCGGATGATACATGTGGGGCATGTGAACATAACCTTTGTTCGAACCTGTTTAATCTTTAGAGAAAATGTTTTTTCGCACGCATTTTAAAAAATGTACTATCAAAAACAAGAACTCTAACGCGTAAATCAATCAAAACATTTGGTAGATATGATATAGATTAGGTTTCAAGTGATGTCGTACGATGATGTTATTCCGTTACATGGTGTATAAACAAAGAAGTAGGTGTGATTAAAAGGGATTCTAGGATTTATTTTTTCAGAAAAAAAGATCATAGTAAACAATAATAATCATCTAGGTTAATCGAAAAAAGAATTTCAAAAGAACATTCTAAAGTCACCTGTTTTGGACAAAAAATGAGTCCATTTATAGGAAAAAGAAGGGGAAGTTTTGAAATCTTCGTAACCCTTTTGTAAAAAAGGAAGATGCGGTTCATATGTAAAACTCATGATTGCTATGCGAGATGTTTTGATAGGGAGATCTCTGACACATAAATGAATTTTTTCGAAATGATGATATAATATTTTAAGGGTGGAAATTTTTCTCAATGAAATGTGATGATATTAACTAAAACAAAAATTCTTTTTTGTTGACAACGATGAATGTGTCCGAATATGTACAGATTAAAAAAAAAAAAAAGATAACCTCATTAAATGAACTCTCAAATAAAGTTAAATTCTTTGTAAAATCACAATAAACAACAAACCGGATTTGACAACACAAAAAAAAAAACGCATAAAGAAGGAATTTAACAATATGTTTTTCCGATGAATGAAAATTATGACTTCATTAATGGACACCCTTGTGAACAACAAAAAAAAAAACTTGATTGATTTGTTTATTGGTTTGTGCGTTAGCAGAAAAAAACTTGAAACCAAACCTGGACGTTTTCTCATTCGAAAAAAGAAAAAATGGAAAAATAGACATTCAAATAAAAAGTGTTTTTAAATGCAGTCATGTGTCTGCGATATCGTGGTTGTGACAGTTTTTTTTATATGTATCTAATGGTTGTTTGTGATTTTCCTTGCGTATGATCTACTGTACAGTTGATGTTTTTTTTTTTTTTTTTTTTTTTATGGAAAGAGTAAAAGTAATATCATATACCCCTTATAATCTATCTATCTTGGCAAGAATTAATTAAGGTTTGAAATTTCATTTGGGATATAATGAAGTGATGATTCCTCTTATCACATGTGACATGACAAGTGTGACAGTAGAAACGAAAGAGTCGTTCCGAAATGTGTTCAGTTCTCAGAATCCATGTATCGCAAAAAAAAAAAAAAAAAAAAGAGCAAGCGTGTGTTCAGTTATTTATAGATTCTCGTCTCACCTATATTTTTGTTTTTTTTTTCATCATATTCTATGCATAGAATTTATAATAAAATAATAATAATAATAATAGTAAAAAAAATAATAATTAAATCTTCAAAATTTCGATTGACATGAAACAAATGATGAAATTGCGAGACCAAAACATAGAAAATACAAGGAATCATTATTGTTAAAGATAGAACGTTGCATCAACCAATACCGATGCAGGTCCGATATTAATGGTAAATAAAAATCGATGAGTTGATTTGCTATTTTGAGCTCTTTGCCTAACTTCTTTTTTTAGGCAGGTTAATTTTAATCTGAAAGATAAATAATCATCTATCTATATATTTTTTTTTGTGGGGTTGTTACGCTGCTAGAATCCGGTTTGGACCTTCCAAACCTGATTCCGCGATGATGTACACATCTTTCGTCCGGAACAAAGTTTCCTTTATCACATCCATGATCTTTATTTCCCTTGTCAAAAGGGTTTTCAGAATATCACCGAAACAAAAAAAAATAAAATAAAATAATATCACAATCAAAATTTTTGACGCACCCAAACAAAGGTCGACACTTTTTTATTTTATTTTATTTTATTTTTTTTTTTTACCGCTGCGTTTGTATAAATTAAAAAAAAAATTAATAATCCCATATCGTAATTCCGTGTTTCAAGTACTTTGTTTAATTAAAAAAAATATTGAATTTAGCTTAGTTCGGTTCTTGTGTTTAGAACGATTTTCGAATTTTCGTCATTCTGGATGTTTTATTAAAAATAAAATCATTTTTTTTTATAAAAATAAAAGGTGATTACATAATTGAAATCAATTTTTGTTCTAGTTTGAAAGATTTTCATTCGGAATTTACCGAAAATTTCCATTCCTTGGTAAGGAATCATCGCCTTTAGGGTTAAATTCATAATAAAACCGTTTTATAAATTGTTAATTTATTAAAAATTCCTTCTTTTAATGCAATCTTTAATGAGTAAAAAAAAATAAATGATATATGTTGCCTTTTAAGGCTCGATCGAATGAAATCTTCATATGATTATGTAATAATGTGCATCATTTTAAACCTTCTACATCAAATCAATGAAACCTTTTTCTTGCTTCCTTTTCTTGATCCAATCGGTTACTGAACGTCAATTGATCTGTGTTGCAATTTATTGGTGCAAGAAATTCGTCCTCTGCCAGTTGATTCGCTCCGGATTTCATCAATTGCATGCATTCTTGTAAGAATGAAATGAAATCATGATTCATCGTCTTTTAAAAAGAAGGAACATGCGCAACAGCATGGAAAGATAGGTGTACGTATCAGGTGAATGATTGAATGGGTCGTTATCGATGGTTTCTTTATTTTTATCATGATTTTTTTTTACCTCGCGATTGAAACTTGCGTATTGATAAATCGAGAACAAAAATTTCTCAGATTGTCTACATTAATGGTAAGGATTGAACATTTAAACGACGTCGTAAACCGGATTAGGAAATGGTTTATTGCCTTGTAAATAAATCGAATCCATATATGGTAAAAAAAAAGAGGCTGGACGTTTTTCGCGTTCCCTCTAATCTCTTCTCTTTGGTTTTAGTTACATGAAAGGGGATTCTTTAACTCTTTTCTTTTTGCGGCAAAATCATCACTTTGACACTTTCATCATTTTTGACACAAATCGATCATGGATCTTCGGTCAATTGACGTTATCGGTCGTATCGTCACGGTAAAAATCTCCGTTATTCTATTATTCTTTTGTTTTATTTTCAATGATAATAAAATAATAATATTCATTCAACATGGGAGATATGCTGAGTGGAACGTTGAACGCATGAAGTCATAATGTTTTCATTACATCATGTGTACGAGTTTAATTTTCCTTGGGTTTTTTCCTTGATATTTTTTTTTTTTTTGACGTAACCGCACGGTTTTTTTTTTTTTTTTACTATAATCTATGTAAGCAGTAACCAAGCCCCCGCCCCACCCAAAGCACACAATAAAAGAAGAAAAAATAAAATTCGAATTTAAAAACGATGAAAATCATTCCTCAATACGGACGCAATATACTGTGGGGATTAATTGATAAATTCGGCAAGGTAAGGTATATAAGGGTTACAAAAAGAGTAAGCCTCACGGACGTAATTTACTTGAACGGCAAAGTTTGATTTAACATCAAAAAGATCTCATATTCCAAAAATTAATTCTTTCTATTATAGGCTCAAACATTTCAACTACCAAATATGTCCTAATTAAAAAAAAAAATATGAATGATTAAAAAGATCAAGAATAAAAACATTCGGCACGCTTACACTTTTTCAACGTTCTTTAAAAGAAAAAGGATTGCTCAATATAGTAATTATTATAAAACCTCTTAAACCTAGATTTGAATGGAATGGATGTGACCCATGTGATTTAGTGTGGAACCTTTATGTAAGGCCATACGGTAAAGATGACTTTTTATTTTTTGGAGAATAAACAATAAAAAATATTTTGAAGTTCGGTCATCAAAAGACAATCGGAATGGAATTTCTTTTTTTTTTTAAAAAAACATACGTTTCTTAATTTAATTTCCATCTTTGGAAGTTCGGATGCCTTTATTTGATTTATTATTATTTTATTTTATTTTGAGCACACAAAATGTTGGCATGTCATGTTTGTTAGTAATAATCAAAATTACGAATATTTTTAAATGACGATGATGAAATAAAAAATATCATAAGAAAGAAGTAATAATAATAATAATAAAAGGCATGTTATTAGTTAATAATCTCATTTGTTCGCTGATGAAAACGGGATTGCTTGGCATCCTTTATTTCTTTGTCTATACGATAATGAGAATAATTTATTATTGTGAATAATATTATTCCTTTTAGGATAGGAATGTGTCACCACGAAAACCCTTAAACCCTTTTGTTACATAATTCACACCGTAAACATAAGGTCAGCAAAAGAAATTCAACCTTCAGCAGTTGACGAGCGTGCGGTGCGTGCTGTCTTCTTTATCGGTGATCGGAAAGAGCGTTACGTTGTAGAGAAATCGGTGCCCCTTCTTAACCGTATCATGGTTTAAATGATTGGTATGAGAAAGAGAATGAATAATAATAATAATCAGCATCATCATCATCATCATCATCATCATCAAACGACAAAGGATACGACGCAGCACAAGCCATTTTTTTTTTTAACTCGAAATACGCGGCGTGGAAAAGACCGGAGGTGCTGCGGCAAGACTCGGAACGATGATCCAAATTTGTACGTTTCTTCCTGACAATCTTCATATTACCATGTTTGATTCTCGAATGAATCGACTTTTTTGGAATTATTAAAAGAATAAGAAAGATTTCAAATCTTCTGCGACACCATGCCCACACTCACATTTTTTTATGCATGAGCACTACTAACATATCACGCCCGACCATTGAACGGAAAAAGAATTGGAGAAATAGTTCAAAACAAGAATAAAAATAATAAAAATCCCGCCCAAATAACCATATATGCTCAATTTCCCAAGTAAGGTCAGAGGAAATGAAGCGCACGAGTGCATATCATCACATTACAAATACACAGAAATGACCGAGCTTATCGACCCAAATAAAAAAAATAAATAAAAAATAAAAATAAAAATAAAAATAAAATAAACCTTTGCAGGTTTCTATATTTAGGGTGAGATCATCCATATGGTGTTGGGTTTAAAAGGTTGGATACATTGGTCGAGATCATGAAGATTTCTAACCAATCAGGGACGGCTTTATAAATAATGAATGAAAATTACCAAATCCGATAGAATGATAGTAATCAAGTGGTTTATCAACATCATGCTCGCAATTATTTTTGTGTCAAGTGACTTGATTCGCTACCCAAAATATCTGTCGTATGCAATGTACGAGATAAACGAATAAAATTTTCATTTCATGTGTGTGAAATTATTTATTATTACATTACATTTATTTAGGACCGGCTCGAAAAATCAAATGATGTTGTTTACCCTATTAGTTATGCGGTGGTCTCGTTAATTTGGTTGGTTTAACGGTTTCGGTTTATATCTCAATTATGGTTTTGAAAGGAAATATGAGAAATAATAATAGTAACAAATTCAACTCAAAGGGAATTTCCTTCTTTATTTCTTGGCTATTGACGCCACGCAACAATTGTAACAATTACCTTTATTTAATCTACCGTGCATGAACTAATACATTGTTATATAAACATACTTGCAACTTTTTTTCCACCTTCTGGCGGGCACATTTCTCTTTTTTTTTTTTTTTTTAGAAAAAAAATAATAATAATAAAGTTAAGAAAAACATGAAACGGTTGTGTGATGAATTGAGAAAGAGAACGCAGTCGATGCTTTTTTTTTTTTTTTTTTTTGTTTCCCAATCAAAATTGACGTCCCACCTTTGAATAAAATAGATGGTCGTCATTACTAATTTTAGTAGAAAGCGATTACAAAACAAATAAATAATAAATTAGAGCAGAATGATTAGGAAATTTACACGTTAGCCTGAGAAAAAAAAAAAAAAAAAAAAATTAAGGCATGTCCAAAAATGGACACTCGAATTTTTTCTTTTGAAAACGGCAAAAAAAAAAATTTAGGAAAAAAAATTCCAAATAGCGCACAGATACATTTAAGGAGCTTTTTTTTTGTAAAAAAAAAAAAAAAAGAAAATTAAATAAAAAACAAGCAGCAGGCGATTCATGATCACAAACATATCTGTGACGAAACATTGATTCAATCGTAGATTCCAATTCAGGATTTTTTTGGTCATTACAATAAAATTTTAATGAACAAGTCGGTCATATGCTCAACCTTGAAAGAGCTCATAGTTTAACACATGATAATCCATGTATATTCAGTTAAGTAATCAAAAATTAATATCAATAAAAAAAAATTTAATAAATGGTAATTTTGGTATTTTGTAACGTTTCCGAATGTGCATCTTTTTTTTTTTTTTCTTGATGTGACTTGTGCTCGTATCATCGCATCCATTTCTTTTTGGAAAAATAAAATTTATTTCATCTTTGTTGCATTCATGACACATTGACGATTTCTTGTGGCTGCAGCTCAGCAAATTTTTCATTTTACTTTCAAAATAGTCGCACGACCAAGAGAGAATGGGTTTCGTACCAATCAAAAAAAAAACGGTTGCGTTAGAGCTTTTTTCATTGTAATATCACATCAAGTTTCTTGAATCACACGCACCATCACAAAATTAACCAAGTGGCCCTTTTTATATTATATAAATAAAAAATTTTCATTTATTAAATGTTTATATTTATGCTTTTTGTTTACTAGTTTGATGATTTACTGTAACAGTAACAAAAGTCGTTACAGTTGAAGTTTATTGAAATTGAAATGACGGACTCATCGGAGAGCGTCAATGACCAGCCTTTCAGGTGGTAATGGCTCAAATCGGATATTGAAAATCCCTTTATGTCATCTCTCCGAGATATGAAAAAATGAACTCTCTTTTTTTTTTTTGTAAAAAAAAAGTTTAAAAGAATCATGTTGTATAGCATAAATTTGGTAATATCACAGTTGAAATGATATGACAATATAAATATTATACTAAAAAAAAAAAAAAAGTAATAAAAAATTTTTTTTTTTTTTTGAATCCTTCTGTTTAATATAAACAATAACTTTATTTAAGTCTAAAAGTCTAATTTATATTAGTATTATAATTTTAAAATATAATTATTTTAAACAAGCATTTACCATATACATATACATAAATATTTCAATCGACATTTGACTATTAACAATAACCAATACTTTTTTTTTTATTTTAAAAAAAAAAAAAAAAAAAAAAATTACCACAAGATAAAAAGGGCAATTTTGCCTTTAACTTTCAAAAGAGAAAAAATTTTAACGAAAAAAAAAAAAAAAAAAAATTTTTTTTCTTTTCTTCCTTTTTTTTTGTGACCTCTTTTTTCTTCTCTTTCATATCTCTTTGTTGTGTATATATCATAATTTTTTTTTTTCGTTTAGTAATTTTTTTTCTTCGTATCGTTTATCGTATCGTATGTCTTACTAAATAAAAAAAAAAAATTTTAGTCACATATATATACTCCAAAAAAAAAAAAAAAAAAAAAATCTAAAAAAAAAACCTCGAGCTTTTTTAACTTCAAGCAGTTCAAGTGATATCCAACTGTTTTTTGATTACCTCCTTTTTTTTCTCCACAAAAAAAAAAGAGTGTCCTCTCTTTTTTTTTTTTCTTCTTACGTTTAACGTTAACTGAAATCTCAAAAAAAAAAAAAAAAAAAAAAAAAAATAATTATAATTATTCATTACAACACAATATTGGCTATTTTTTAATGACTCTTTGAAAACCAGAATATTTTACAAAAACTTGGCAAATACCTTTTAATTTTTACCTTCATACTTTATTCAACAACCGTATATATTTACTTTTATTCCCAACTTCTTACTTTTTCCCAATTTTTTTTTTTGTCACGAAACAAAAAGTTTATTTTGGAAGAAAAGGAATAAAAATTTTTTATTTTATTTTACAAAGTCCGGAAAACAAGAAACGTTTTATCACATCACCATCCTACTTGAAAGGTGTCAACAAATCCAGACTTTTAACGAGCCGTCAATACAAAATTTTACGCGATTACTTTTTTTTTTAACGAAATATTTTTTTAAAACATAAATCTACGGTTTTTTACGAAAAATGGTATCATCTCTCCGTTATGAACGTTACGATTTTCCGGATCTCTCCGATCCCACGGCTTTTTCATTCAATTATTCAATGGCTTCCCCAACAGTGCCTATCATTCATCATTCAACGCAGCCATTCAATCAACACCATGCAAAAGAAATGGACATGACTACAGATTACCTCATGAATAACAGGGGCATCTCTTTCACCGATCTTCTTACAACCGATAACGAACAGCTCATGGAAGCTTATGCTTTTAGAATGATCCCTCAAACTCACGCGACCACATGTTCCTCCCCGGAGAGCGACAATTATAGCTTATTTGATCCAAAAATAAAAATTGAATATGATTCACTCGACGCCTCTCTATATGATATGACTAGAACCCTAAGCTCTGAGAGCAGTTGTCCAGATCTCGCTGTTTGTCCAGCCAGCATCTCTTCAACGAATCCTCTTACCCCCATTGATTCCCCTCATGATCAATCTCCCATCATTACGCCAACAGTCATTCCTCATCACTATCATCAACAACAACAACAACAACAACATTTGATAAGTGAGGAGAGAGAGATCATGCCAAGTCAAGATATGATGCAGTCTCAACCTTCGACAATAAAAAGGGGGAAGGGCCGAAGGGCCAACGTTACAAGTGCCGCCATGAACACTGGAATCCAACTTCAAGATCCTCAGGAATTCCATTCTCTAATGACTTCACCTTTATCTTCACCGCAAAAATCTGGCAAATCAAGAGGTCGTCGAATGTCAAACAAACCTGCCAAACCAGGAACAAAATCATTCGAGTGTACTTACGCAGGTTGCGGAAGAATCTTTAAGCGTTCAGAACATCTTAAGAGACACATTCGGTCGATACACACTCTTGAAAGGCGTAAGTATTTTTGAACTTAGGTTACGCTCGATTCAAAAGTGTTCTTCAACGTCGTAAATATTTACGCATTCTGATTCTTTTTTTTTCTACTTTTAGCCTTCCATTGTCCTCACCCGCATTGTACAAAACGATTCTCACGTTCGGACAATCTTTCTCAGCATGTTAGAGTTCATCGACCCAACGGAAAGGAGAAAAATGCAAATGCGAGAAATTTTAGCAATTTCACACCCTATTTACAAACTTATCAGACTGGCAATCTTCACACGACGTTGCAACACTGAATGAACATTCACAAATTCGATGACGTGAATTTGATGAAAGAACAGGAACAAACAAAAATTCTTTTTTACTTCGTTCGATTTTCCTTTATTTTTTTTTTTTCATTACCATTCTTAACATATGGACAATTGTGTGGAATCTTTTTTTTTTCAATTTTATTTTGCTAGTGTGGTTTTGGCGGTATGTGCGATGGAATACTATATTTTATTATTCTAATTACTAGCTATGATGACGAGTGATATTTA